CACCTTCCTCATAAAAAGGAAAACAAAACCAACTCCCTCCCCCACCCCTTATCTCCTCACGCCAGAGTCTCTGGAGCAGATCTGGTCAAACAGACCAGCCCAATCAGGTCCTCACACAGCTCTGTTTCTGGGAAGTGGATGTGCTGTCCATTGGACAGAGGAAGTGCCAAGCCTTGGCAGGTTCCCTACTTATTTGCAAGACATAAGCTGCTGGCATGGTGTCAGATGTGCATGCAAGAAAGCTGGATGCCAGTTAAGACCTATAGTCCTGTTTGTTTCATGCACTGTGAACTTATCCTATATACACTACGGGCTGGTTTATGCTTGAAGACATGAATATAAAGGTATACATTTTCCTTTTATCTTAGTAACCAAAGCTTTACTTTCACCCGTGGAATAGCAGGGGTTTGCTACCAGGGCTCTTATTTTCCTCTTCTGCTCTTTCTCTCTTCAGTTCTCAATACTGAAGGTGAAGGGGGATAGGAGGGGGACAGGTAGGATTACAGTCCCAAGGTCCTAGTTCCTAAAGGTCCCTGAGTGACAGCACTATACAGTATCAGAATATGAAGCGATAGGGTTGTGTTGGCCATTTATATCCTGAGAGAGATTTCACTTCTATTTCTCCTTTTCCTCCTCCTCCCCCACATGCCTGCGTTAGGCTGTTATGCATGGGAATGCTGCAAAACATTCTCCTCCAGCCCAGCCCCCTCAGGCTGCCCGGAGCTTCCCTCATGCTCAGCTTACATTTTCTGACAAAAAACACAAGACCCAACAGACGGAAACCCTGTCTCAAGCAGCAAACAAACCGAGCTTCATTCAGAACTGCCTTCTGCACCACTGCAGCAAAAGCCAGATGCAGCTCCATTTGGAACAGCAGTCACGCTTTTTCCTCTCCACTGCTCTCCCTTCATGAAGAGAAGGTGGTCAGCATCATGCACACAAGCTACAGAGTGGAAATCTCCAGTTTTCCAACAACATTATCTTTGTACCCACCCAATTAAAGGCTCATGTCTTTCCTTATGTTTATGACAGCCTGAAACCTCTCAGCTGGAGTTTAAGTAAAACTCGTTTTTTCTCCACTGTCTCCTTTCAGAATCACCGGACCCCGAAACAACCCTTGGATTTGTTGCCTTTCTTAGGGTGGACACAGATTGCTATGGAGGGGGAAAATGGAGGTACCACCTCGGTCCTGGAGGAGGGCATTTCTAAAGGCCTCCAGCATTCTTCCCTCCCCCCTGTCCAGGACCACATATTCTATTACTCATCTGACTTACAGGACTCGGTTGTTCTCCATCCTGCCGTGTCACCAGAAATTATAAGGCAGTTCCTGAACTGTGAGAAGTCCTGACCGCACACTCTTTGGCAAAGATTATTGTGTAGGACTGAAAAGTCCAGATGTCTGGATATACGAAGACAGACTCTATGAAATAAAACTGGCCTGGCAAGGACAGGTCAGAAACATTCAGAGAGAAACTAGAATGACTCTGCTAAGAAAGAGAACCCAGCCAACAGAGAACCGAGGCAATAGCAAAAGAGTCTGGCTCCAAATCCCAGCAGGTGAAGAAATCATCTGAGCAGTGCTTTTTCCCTGGAAAGCTTTTGGATTGTCACTATGAAATTCTGGGCTCAATCTCTGATTGAAGCCTTGAAAAGTAAAAACAGACCCTCCCCCATGCCTTATCTCCAGCTGCTGGAGGCCCCGGGCTGTACCTGCTGTGCCAGATGGGGTTGGTCAGTGGCTTGCAGGAACCCCTTCCATGCAAGACTTACTGCCCAAGCAGCAAAGAGCAGAGGTGGGCTTTTAATCATATCAGTGTGCTGCTGCCACTGCTGGCCCTTGGGAGCAGCTGAGGGCACTCTCGGGTGCCTAATTCCTACCACAGATTTGTCAGGCTTCTACTACAGCTAGCAAATTGCTGGAGATCCTGAGTCATCTCCCTTGGCTTCTTCATTTCTTACCATGTGGCTATTTGTTCCCCTTCCAGTTTTAGTAGGCTTCATACAACTGCCTCTTTTTTTTTTCTTCTCTTCTGTCATTCTGACCACCCTTTACATTGCAACCCCATATATAAAGGGTAAGTGTTTTGATATTGTATTTACTGACCAATCAGCCAGTTAGACTTCCCTGAAAGGCCAAACCTGCTGATAGGCAGCCTCCCTCTGGCACATGTATTACCACATTATACTGCTGATGTCATAAAATACAACTTTATGATTTCCATTACAACTTTTAAAAGCCTTTTCCAAATTGAATCCCACTAGAAAGTGTAACAGTCTCCTCTGGACAACCTTTAACTTTCCTGCACATCAGACAGAAGAAACTGCCTGATTCAGCTATTAGTCCTACTGTCCAGTTCTGTTCACTCTTCAAATTTAACTGCTGTACAGACCCATGTCAGCAATAAACTGCAGCATCAAGAAAACCTGTTTTCAACAGCATCACTCCTGAATGTGGAAACCAGCAAGAGACTGTTCTGTAGGGAAGTTAAGCCTGATTTAACAATTGTGCTAAAACCTTGGTGAGCCCAGAAGGGCCTGGACTGAATGTGTGCATGCATGAAGATGGCAGAGGGAGACAGAGATTGGGGATGAGTGAGAAGGATGGATGTTCTACTTTTATGCTTAGGAGTCTACCAGCAGAAAATGCATAAAGCACATTACTAATATAAAAATAGCAATACTTATCACTCTGATGAGCCCTGATCCTGCTTCCTCTAAGTCAAGGCAAAACTTTCCATGACTTCATTATTACTAGGTCAGGCCTATAGTAATTCACATTTTCATAGCACTGTACAGACACAAATTAGTAAATGAAAAGATGTGCATTAGATGCATCTGTTCTCTGACAAACAGGAGTTTCCCTGGTCTCAGAAAATCACTTTGCTCTCCTGAACAATCAGAACTTAAGAAAAAGGAAGAGGATGCTAGCAGGAAAATAAAGGGGTATTTGGATTCAAGGCAGTGTGTGTGTGGCTGGCATGTGAAAACCTCCATCAGGTAAGAAAAAGGTTCTCATAATTAGTCCATGAATGGTAGAATGACCCAAGGGTTAAAGTTTTGCACTTGTGAATTTATTATTTTCATGGCTTTTGTTAACATTGTAAGGGAGATTATCAATCATCAGTGATTGCCCAAGTGGCCAGTAATTCAGTGATTTATCTGAAAGTCACTGGCTCCTTTGGAAAAGGAGTAGCCTTTTGCACCTTAATAACATGTGCCTGCAGATGGAAGCTACTACAGACTTAAGGGCTTCCACAGCACTTCCATTGCAACCTTCACTGTGCCCAGTCTTTGAAGACCACTGTCTTCCAGAGGGATCATGCTCCATAGAACTCTATGCATCCTTAGTTGCATCTTCTGCAGGAAGGGACACAAGGTGCTCTTCTCTGCATGGTTTAACAGATACAAAGCAAGGCCATATAAAGCAGAACATATTAGAGGGTGGTAGATCACCATTTGCTTCTGAAGCTCTTAGGAAAGGGAATAGTTATCATTTCTGGATATTTTCATCCTGAAATACAACGGAGTTAAAAAACCTCCCCTTCCTGCATCTTGCTGTAGGCTATGGTCATTTGGTGGGCTGGAGTATGAAGTCCCTTGTCTGGCACAAAGAGCAGGTAGAGAGTGGAAATGGCTGAGTTTTCAGAATCTTGTAACTGCTTTTCTCCCAAAACTCAGTAAGAAAGATGCAGAGTGGAAATGATTAGGAACAAGCCCTATTTCAGGACTAAACCAGCTTAGATCAGATGCCAGCAGTGGACAGTGGCATCATCCCGTTGCTGATTCCCAAAACCCTCTCTCTCCTCAGCAAGTGTATTTGCACAATCTATTGTCCCCAGCCTCGTGTCTCTAGTACAAGCTAGGACTCCAAGTTCGCAAAGTTGCAATAAGCAAACAAAACCCTGCTATCCCCCCCAAGAACATTGCCAGTTAAATGTCATCTGTGTTCTCTTTCTACAAAAGACATTACAAAACCCCCCTCCCCTGCTCCCTTCCCCAGAAAACATGCTTGCACACACACATCCACATCCACACACACTCGCAGATGCACACACTCATTCACACAGGAAAAACAGCTTGCAAACTCCTGAAGGTGGAAAAAGGCAACTTGCAAATGTGCCTTTGCTTTTGATAAGCTCCCTCCTCCCACCCCCCCTATGCCCCATATTGCCCCTTCCCTCCCAAATAATTGCCCTGTCCTCCCCCCTTCCCAGCTCTTCCAAAATAAATATTCTTTTTATTTGTTGGTTTAAAAGATTCTTTTAGGCTTGTAAGCAAGAGAGAAGGAGAGAGAAAAAGAAAAGAGAAGTCTCATAGCATGAGAATGAAACCCCACTATCTCATGAATCCATGAAGGAATAAAAATGAAGGGGTTAGGAAGAGTGACAGAAGAAAGATTAAAAAAATATAATAATACTGAGAGGAGAAAGATGAAATTATGAAATTCAGTAGTGAAATGGAAGTGAGGATAGTGCATTAGTGAGCACAGCCAAAGATAACCTATCCCCCCACACCAGTTTTTAACTCAATTTCTTTATGTCTCCCTCCCCCCCTTTTTTAATGCTTTTTT